CTCTCCTTGCTGGATCAAGGCGTGGGAGACATCTTCGAGCTGTACGTGTGTTGAACGCGGAGGTGTCGTCCGTTCGGCACTAGGATCATCGGTGATCTGAATCACGACGAGTACGACTCCATCAACCCCGTTCACTTGAACGCTTCCGCTTAGCGATCTACAAGGGTATGTAGATGCACTCTCCTTCCCCTCGTTGCTAGTCTCTCCATAGATAGATCTTGGTGACACGTAGGAAAATTTTGAATTTCTGCTACGTTCCCCAACAAGAGATTGATCAAGACTATGCCAAAGAGTGAATCAAGTTGATCAACACACAAAGCGTAGAAGATGTACCGAGAGGGATCAAGTGATCCCATCGTATGGTAAGCATTGTCAATTACGCTTTGTGTACTAACCCATGGTATTCACGAGAGTTCTTTGTGGGGTTAGGTTGTGGTGTGTAAGTTAAAGTGGAGCATCACGAAGAGATCAAATGCTTTAAGCTTGACGTCCATTGTGGTGACAATGTACTTGTGAAGATGTGAGGAAGAGTGGCTCACCCATAGTGGAGTATGGGGGAGCAATCAATTAGTCTTCATCGAGCCAACGCAATCAAGAAAGGTGGTCCAACTTGAGGGAGTCAAGATCGTCATCATCTAGCTCAAGTGGACCATGTGCAAGGCAAAGGTTTACCCTTGATAGGTTTTCTATTCTACCAGTCTCATGGTGGTAGTTGGGAGACCGGGTTATAGGATCGATTGTCGTACTATCAAGGGGGGCTCTCGATGAGTAGCTTGATCGTATCATTCATAGAGAGCTGAAACCATTGCATCCTTGCATCATCTTTATTGGTTCTTATTTGGTTCTTCTCCTTGTGAGATTTGGAGCTTTTGGTCATCTTGATGACAAGCTCGAGTTCATCGAAAACGGAGTTCACATGCATCTTCTATGATGTTTTCGATGTTGGAGGTTATGTCGGTTCTTCTCTATTGGAGGGTTCACTTCTCTTTTTGTTAGGCATACCTCCCCTACCTTTTCTTACTATAACCATTCCTTGTTTTGATGCTACTTGTCGTCTTGTATCCAACAAGCTTGAGTTTGCTCAATTCGGAGCTCATTTGTAGAAGTTATGGCAGTTCTGGTTTTATTGTATCCTACTGTTGTCTTTAGCTGTGATATGAAGGCAGCCAAGTGCTAAAGCCTCTGTGGTGTACGGTAGTACTGCTCAAGGGTCCAGCGGTAGTACCGCTCCTGGTGAGCGGTAGTATCGCTACCTCTAGCCCATAGCATTGTCACACACGGAAGTAGGCGCGGAAATAATTTTTTACTTCCACCCCTACGAGGTAGTACCGCTCCCTGCGAGCAATAGTACCGTGCCGGCTTTCTTCTCGAAGTTAGCTCCAGCGGATGTAGGTGTGGCAGTAATTTTTTACATCTGTGGACGCGTAGTAGTAGCCCAGCGGTAGTACCGCTACCTCACTGTGTATACTGCCGTGTGCTGCACCTGTGTGGCTGTTGAATGCTACCCATGCGGTAGTACTGCAAGGGCGGGCGGTAGTACCGCTCCGGTAGTAGCACCGCACTGTTGCCCCATTGCAGCAGTGTTTCTTTTGGCTACTGCCACCCTAGCGGTAGTATCGCTCCTTGGAGCGGTAGTACCGCTCGGTGCGGCCTGTGAGGATAACGGTTGGATTTCCCCCCTCCTATAAAAAGTGGTCTTCTTCCCATTGAACCTTATCCTTTGAGCTCGTGTTCTTCCCCCATTGTTGACCTTCTTCGAGCTTGCTATCTCTCGATCCGTCCATTGATTCTTGCTAGTTTTTGGGGGGGAAGAGAGAAGAGATCTAGATCCACATTTCCACCAATCACTTTCTCCTCTATGTGAGGGGAACCCCTTGGATCTAGATCTCAGAGTTCTTGGTGTTCTCCTTCTTATTCTTCCTCCCAATTTCCTCCCTAGCATTAGTTGCTTTGGTGGGATTTGAGAGAGAAGGACTTGGGCACTTCGTGTGCCCTTGTCATTGCATTTGATGCATCGTTTTGAGTTCTCCACGGTGATACGTGCAAGTTACAAGTTGAGAAGCTTATTACTCTTGGGTGCTTGGTGCCCTTGAGTTTGTTCCTCTTGGGTGCTTGGGCACCCTAGACGGTTGGTGGTGTTCGGGGCTCAATCATTGTGGTGTAAAGCTCCAGAAAAGCGTCGGGATCTCCAATTAGGTTGTGGAGATCGCCCCGAGCAATTTGACGGGTACCGGTGACCACCCCCCAGGGTTGCCAAAGTGTACGGGTTCAGTGACCACCACCAAGGGTTGCCATTTGTACGGGTTTGGTGACCGCCCTCAAGGTTCCCTTAGTGGAATCATGACATCTTGCATTGTGCGAGGGCGTGAGGAGATTACGGTGGCCCTAGTGGCTTCTTGGGGAGCATTGTGCCTCCACACCACTCCAAACGGAGATTAGCATCCGCAAGGGTGTGAACTTCGGGATACATCGCCGTCTCTGCGTGCCTCAGTTATCTCTTACCCGAGCCCTTTACTTATGCACTTTACTTTGTGATAGCCATATCGTTCTTTGTCATATCTCTTGCTATCACATAGTTGATTATTTTTCTTACCATAAGTTGTTGGTGCACATAGGTGAACCTAGTTGTTTTAGGTTTTGTGCTTGTCAAATTAACCGGTAGGTTTATTCCGCTTTTGTTCAAGCCTAAACCGTAATTATGTTAAAGCGCATGTTCACCCCCTCTAGGCGACATCCACGATCTTTCATCGGCTTCCTTCCATTCCCACACGTACTGCAACCATGAGAGCGTGTCGTCGCAGATCCTCATCGGTCGCTCCCTCCACCGTTGCGCTCTCGTCTCCTCCAGTATCGTCGGTTGCACAGATCCGATTGGTCGCAGCATCTCCGGAAACGCCTGATAAATGAACAGGAGCAGCATCCGAGGTACCTCCACATCTCATGGCGGCTGTGGAGGAGGCGGCGAGCACGTGGATCTGCTCTGGCGAGGCATGGGACGACTAGCTGGCGCGACACTGGGTGGTGCGGTGGCGGTGGGCGGCAGATGGGGTGGGCGAGTCATAGGAGAGGGTGGATGGGGTGGGCGCCTCTTTCAATGCCCTGGATGGAATTTAATTTCTCCTCCTCTTTATTTTTGTGTTATCTGTATTAGCTATTTGTGTAGATGTTTCTACTATATGCCTAGTACGTGATCATGTGGTCAGATATCAGTGTGATATATATTTTTTTGCGAGAAAATTTCTGATCTATCCATCTTCCATCATGGCAGTACAACGAATATCAGAAATAATAAAAATTACATTCAGATCCGTAGATCACCTAGCGACGACTACAAGCACTGAAGCGAGCCGAAGGCGCGCCGCTGTCATCGCCCCTCCATCACCGCAGTCGAGCACAACTTATTGTAGTAGACAGTCGGGAAGTCGTCGTGCTAAGATCCCGTAGGACTAGCGCACCAGAACAGCAACCGCCGCGGATGAAGAATAACGTAGATCAGAAGGATCCAACCCGAAGACACATGAACGTAGACGAACAACGACGAGATCCGAGCAAATTCACCAAAAATAGATCCGTCGGAGACATACCTCCACACGCCCACCAACGGTGCTAGACGCACCGCCGGAACGGGGGCTAAGCGCGGAGACCTTTATTCCATCTTCAGGGAGCCGCCGCCGCCTCGTCTTCCTGAGCAGGACACAAACCCTAGCAAAACTGTAAGAAACGACTAAAAACGAAGCCCTCCCGCCGGCCCTTGCCGAGATCCACCGCGCCCTCATGGCCCTAGGGCCACCGGAGAGGATGCGGCGCCAGCGGGAGGCAGAAACACTAGTTTTTTTGTGGAGGAGGAGGCGGCGGCGGTAAAAAGAAAGTTTATTTCATCAGTCGTTATATATCAATACGATATTAACACTGTCAATGGTATGATCATAATTTATCTCTGAAGTAATATTTTTTCTGCTAATATACTCAACAATAACTACCCAGTTATTTTTATACAACATTAGTACTACTGGTACTCATTGAGAATAAAGTCAACCCAATATTTTCTCGGAAAGCCATTTTGGTTCCGGTGCATTTCAGTTCAAACGCGAAGATGGAGTAATAAACCTCGGCAGCGATGGTTGGGATTGCGCGAGTACGTATCACAACGCGACGTGTGAGCTGGTGCAATTTATGTTTCAGGCGTATCCCGCCGGCCCGTATCCCCTCCTTCAATGATGCGTACGTGCAGACGTTCATACCACGGGCAAGCTGGTAATGCGACGCAACGTCTGGATATGGCATGAATGAACCTGGCCTGCGCGGGGTGGAGCGATAATTCAAAATCCGCCGTACCCCAGCCCCGGTACGAGCGGGTCGGTTGGTTCGGCTTCGGCTGGCCAGTAGTAGTACCCGAGTACCGCTCCGAAATCTAATTCCACCCATAACACTCGGCAATCCGCATTAACTGCATGCGCCTCTGCTGACTGCTGCCCCGGATCAGATGGCCTCCCCTCCCTGCGTTAATCCCGTGCCGCCCCCCTCCTGCTCTGCGCAGTGCGCACGCCCATTTCAAATCCCCACCAAAACCTCCTTCCTTCCGCCAGAGTTTTCGGAGCAGGGCAGCGCAGAGCGGGGCAGGGTTTTCGCGGCGCACCCCACCGTCCAGGTGTCCTCGTCTAGGAGGAGGTCTGGATCGACGAGATGCACGCGTGCTTCCATGGCGGCGGCGGCAGCGGCAGGACCAGGACCATCAGCATCATCCGGGACCTCACCAAGAACGTACGCCGGCAGCCCAGCGCCATCCGTCAGATTCCGTTCCATCCTTCCCGTGTACGGTATGTCCGCGCGCGCGCGCGGATGCATCTAACGTGCCTGTGTGCGTGTGTGCAGATGAAGTCCATGTCGCTCAAGATGAAGGCGGGCGGCGGCGGGGGCAACGCGCGGGCGAGGCGACGGCGGCGGAAAGGGGCGGAAGGGGAGGAGGACCTGGAGCCGCAGGACAAGGACGTGGCCGCGGCGTCGGCGTCCGCCAAGATAGCGCCGGAGGAGCGAGAGGGGAAGACGCGTGCGCCATGCGACCGGTGCCGCTCCGGCCTGGAAGACGTCCCCGAGGAGGGGGAAGAGGAGGAGGAGGCGGCGGCGGCGGACCATACGACCGGGGAGGAGCAGAGCGATGGCGAGTGGGTGGCGGAGCCGGAGCCCGGGGTGCTGATGACGCTGGTGTCGCGCCCCGACGGCACCAACCACCTCCGCAAGCTGAGGTTCCGGGAGGAGCTGTTCGACGGGCCCCGGGCGGCGCAGCGCTGGTGGGCGGACAACTACGACAGCATCGTCGAGCTCTACAGCATCGTGCAGTCCACCGGAGCGTCGCACGAGGAGGAGGACGCCGAGGACGGCATCGACGACGACGAGCCCGCGACGCCGTGCCAGTCGGAGGACGACCACCACCAACCGCGGCGGTGGCCGCGGCTGGGGTGCGACTCGGCCTCCACCTCGGCCGGCCCGTCCAGCGGAAGCGGAAGCGGCAGCGGCAGCGGCGGTGGGTCGGCCAGCACCGTGGGCTCGCCAATACTGGGCCTCGTCGTCGCCACGCCTCCTAACAAGGGCGAGAGAAGCCCGGGCCAAGCACAATCACACAAACACAAGTGTCGTTCCTTGCACATAAATTAGACAGAAATGGTTATTATTTTTAGGGTTTTCTCCAGTCTTTCGTGCCCATCATCTTACAGAAGCAGGCCTGGGCACGGGTTTTACAGCTTTTGTTTATACTGATTCACTGGTTCTCATTTGTATTCGATACTTCCTGCAAGGCTGTAAACAACGGCCAGCATTTTCCTGCAAGGGGTGGCTTGGGCAGTTGGAGCAGTAAAAATCGGCTATGGCCTATGGATGGAACATTGGTATGATGACAAATGTTTAATTCTGGGAGGATGTCTTATTTGGGCACTGCTGCCTGGCTACAAAGTTCTGTTGTTAATGAACAGAATTGCTCCATTGCCCAGGCCTGAGATGCTGTGCATTCAAAGCTTCAGTTTCCTTGAACTGTTGATGATCGCCCCATGGATCAATGCTTTCACCTTTGTGAGATTGCTCGTAGTGTCTCTCTGTCTGACGAGAGAGTATGTTATGCATGGATATATGATCCATCTCGTATTCTAGTTTGTAATCGGTGAAATCCTTTTATGTCATTGTGAGTAATCGAGGATTATTCCTGCTTATACCCATTCTGCTTGGAATATTACTATTCCTAAAGTGTACATGTGTTTTCTACTCCCTCCGTTCCAAATTACTCGTCGTGGTTTTAGTTCAAATTTGAACTAAAACCACGACGAGTAATTTGGAACGGAGGAAGTAGGTTTTTAGTAACAACAAAATACTGACTAGAGATAACACCTTGCTAAACGCCGAACTGTGGATGGCTCATCAAGTCATCATGTGTGTATTTTGTGCTGAAAATGAAAGTGTCATCACTTATTCTTTGCTTGGACGTTTGCTAAAAGAACATTTTGAAGCTCGTCTCTGACGTACTTTTGCTTGACATGGGTAATTTACTTTGACCCTGTTCCTCGCTGGAAAACAAAATGCCTGTGTCAGCGTCCCTAACGAGGCCGGCCCGCAAGGCAGCTCCAAGGATCCTGTCTCCACGACCCCGCGTGCGGCCCGGCCCAGGAAACCCAACCCACGCATCGTCGGCCCAGCGTGGGTTAACTGAAGCCCGTGCGGCAGCTACTTAAGTAGAGAGGCGACAGCGAGCTAGGGTTATCCAGTGGATCACGACTTCGGCGGCTCGGCTCTATTCCCCTTCCTCCTTCTCGCTGGCTATGAACCCTAGTTCCCCATTCGTGTAATCCTCCCTGTAATCGTTACCATATCGAATCCTGAGAGTGGAATTGCTAGTAATCGAGAGGATCCACTTCCACCCTCACATCTGGTATCAGAGACCAACAATCCACCACCACCGCGCCATCCTGACGCAGATCATCGAAACCAGAGGCATCCATCAAGCCCGTACGCATCTCGTCGCCATGGATCCGGCCATCGAAGCCTTTCTCGACAGGCTCGACAACACCCTCAAGGCCCAGAACAAGGCCATCGCAGAGATCCAGACCTCCACGGCCAAAATCGACGACCTCGTCAACTGGCGACCGGATATGGAGAAGCGGGTGGCAGATCTGGGCGACGCGGTGGCGGCGCTCCAACTGGCGCAGCCACCTCCGTCCAAGCCGAGCGAGGAGCCGATTGGCGTGAGTTCGAAGCAAGGCCCTTCTGCGGCGACCGACGTCCTCCACAGGGCCGGTGGCGGCGCGGGCAACGATTCCCATGGGCCCGATGGACACGGCATCTTCAACTTACCACGGGGGAATGTGGCGGCGTCCTTCCAGACGCCGCCGCCACCCCCGGCAACAGGTCCGTCCTCCTCCCTCGCAACAATTTCCACACCACCATCATCGTTCGCGCACGCAAGTCAGATGCTGTCTGGTCTAGGCCAAACTCACCCATCTATCACATTTCCACAATTCACGGGTGATAACCCGAATTTGTGGAAAACTATGTGCGAACAGTACTTCCAAATGTTCGGCATCTTGCCTTCGTTCTGGGTACCCATGGCGGCCCTAAATTTCTCCGGGTCAGCTGCTGTGTGGCTGCAATCCATACAGAAACGTCTCGCTGAGTTCGATTGGGATACTTTCACCTCATTACTTTGCACTCTTTTTGGACGCGATCGGCACCAGACGCTGATCAGGCAGTTTTACACTGTCCGACAAACGTCCTCTGTAGCACACTACATAGAGCAATTTGAGTTAATTATCAATCATTTATCATCTTATTCTGACTCGATCCATCCCTTTTACTTCTTAACTCGTTTCGTCGAGGGTCTGCGGAGGGACATTCGAGCGGTGGTCCTCGTGCAACGACCACCGGACTTGGATACGGCGTGCGTGCTGGCATTACTCCAGGAAGAGGTGGCCGATGGCGCTTTCGGCAGCCCAGCTCGCCCACCAGAGCCACCCCCGCGAGGAGGCACTCCCATGCCGCTTCCTCCCCCTCCGGTGCGCTCGGTGCCAGCGGCGCCGGCGGCAGATCGCCGCGGCACGAACGCGGCCCGCGCAGACACAGCCAAGCTGAAGTCACTCCGGGACTATCGATGAGCTCGTGGCCTGTGTTTCAAATGCGGCGAGAGGTGGGGGCACGACCATGTGTGCCCCACCACCGTCCAGCTACATGTGGTGGAGGAGCTGCTGGACGTCTTCGGCCTCGACAGCTTCGTCGACACACAGCTGGGTCAAGACGAGCCACCACAAGAAACAGCCATGGCCATTTCATTGTCTGCAGTTACAGGGGGAGTGTCAGCCAAAGCTTTCCAACTCAGGGCGTGGCTGCAAGGCCGTGAAGTTCTCATGTTAGTGGATTCGGGCAGCTCCAATTCGTTCATCAACCAACAGCTCGCCCAACATCTTTCAGGAGTCCAACCCCTCGCCAAGCCCAGCCGTGTGCGGGTGGCAGACGGAAGTGAACTGCTCTGTTCAGAAGTGGCCACTCGATGCGCCTGGTATGCGCAAGGGCATGAGGTCTATACGGACTTGAAGGTACTGGCTCTGGGCACGTACGATGTCATCTTGGGCATGGATTGGCTAGAGGAACACAGTCCGATGCGGGTTGACTGGCGCGCGCGCTTCCTGGAGATCCCTACCCCAGCAGGACCGCTTCGCCTGCGAGGACACGACGCACCGTCGACAACTTGCCAATCCATCAACAGTCTGCAGCTGCAAAACTTGTGCAGCAAAGGCTCTGTCACACATGTCATACATCTTTGCGTGGTAGCACCGTTGCCTGAGGACTTGGAGCAAACTCCAGAATGCATTCAGGAAGTGTCGAATCAGTTCCCTAACGTGTTCGAAGAGCCAACCGGACTCCCACCTAGGAGGGCGTGCGATCATCGCATCCCTCTGATTCTAGGAGCGCGACCAGTCAACGTCCGGCAGTACAGATACAAACCAGAGCAGAAAACTGAGATAGAAGCTCAAGTGGAGGCACTGTTGAAATCAGGGGTGATTCAGCGTAGTAACAGCCCATTCTCCTCACCAGTCATTCTCGTGAAGAAAAAGGACGGCACCTAGCGTCTATGCATCGATTACAGGCAGTTAAATGCAATCACGGTGGTCGGCAAGTTTCCGGTGCCAGTAATTGAAGAACTTCTCGATGAGTTACATGGAGCAGCATGGTTCTCTAAGTTAGATTTGCGAGCAGGCTACCATCAAATCAGGTTAGCGCCCGGGGAAGAACACAAGACAACATTTTCAACTCATCGGGGGCACTTTGAGTTCAAGGTTTTA